CTAAAACTAGCTGTAAGTGGAATTCTGTTTAAGGCAATTAGGGCATCGTGCCTTAAGGGGCAAATTGCTGGAAACTTCCCGTACAAAAATTTTTATTTTTTTTAAAAAAACGATTAACATTTTTGAAAAAAAAATTACTTGAAAAAATAAATTTGAGAAACTATAAATTGACAAAAAATTAGTTTTTTTTTGAAAAAAAAATTTTTAAAAAAAAATTTTTTCAAAAAAAAAAAATTTTTTTTTGAAAATTAAAAATTTTTTTCTTTATTTTGACAATTGTGGAAGATCTGAACTTTTTTTCAAAAATCGTACGCTTTAACTACATAGGGACAAAATATAAGCGCGAAGCGCCGCGTCGATGTCTAACGATAAGCATTGGTACGGAAACCCATAGGAATGTTAACAAAATGTATACTTATGTTTAAAAATCTTATAAAATATCTGATAATTTGATTGTGCATATGTCTAATGATCATTTTTGACCGCGAAATGGCTCATTTTTTACTTTTTTCTCTATATCTCCGAAACCGCCTGGACTACCTTTATGAAAGTTGTATCAATTCTTCATCTTGTCAATACAAATAAAATGTTTTTTGAATTATCCAAATCGGACGCTCCGTCTCTTAAAATGAGTTACCGTTTTCGGAACTTTTTGCCACGTATTCGGAAACGGCTTGACCTGCTTTGCCAAAAACTAATTCAGGCATTCTTCATTCAATTACGGATCGAATTTGTTTTTGAATATTTAAAATCGGTTGATCCGTGTTCCCGAAATGTCGACGAAAATTGTGAATCAAACCGTTCATACTTACATAATACCCACACACATACATACATACACACACACATACACACACACATACACACACACACACACACACACACAACAACACACAAACAAAACATACATCCTTTTTCTAAGGTATGCAAAATGTTCAGAAACCTCTGAAACGTAAAATATATAAAATTTTCATTTTCGATTTTTTGCGATTACTATAACTTACCCTACGGGAAGTTAATTATTTAATGGAAGTCAATATATAATTAATCTTAAATATTAATACTATCACTTTAACAAAATGTAGAGTGCTAAGTTTAGAACTATAATTAGAGGAATTTTCATGAAACATTGATCAGGGTTTCAACTTTACTATTGACATTATTTCCAACTTTTTATGTATATAAGTATATATATATATATATATATATATATATATATATATATATATATATATATGCTATATTACTGTTTCGAAAGGCAACAATAGATACCTTTTAGTGCACAATTTAGTAAAAAAAACTTTTATTTGATTTTTTTATTATGAAATTATTTAATGTTAACTGGTAAAATATTTTATAATTTTACCAGTTAAAAAACCTGATTAAACTTTTGGTGGAACTTGCCAACATACTTTAGTGCATTTTTTTTATAAGACATTTCAAAATTGACCAATTTTGAAAATTTTAAATTCATAGTTTAACAAAGAGTCTTAATTCTTAAGAACTTGAAGCACTTTGTTATTATTTTTGACATTAATATTTTTTGTTATTTATTTGTTTGTGGTCTTAGAAATATTATTTACGGTTATCAATAAAATTTGACCACAATAACTGAAAAATTGTCAAATTTGCACCAAAGCTTTAAAATGCACTGGAAAGCTCACAACTTTAATACATTTCGGCTTTAGTTCTAGCTTTCATTTAGTAAAACTGAAATTAAATTATAAAACTAATATATGTAATAATAGAATTCGAAAAAATACAAGTTAAAAGTAATAAGTATTTACAATTTCTTTATCATAGTATTCAAAAATAGTACCTTGTGCATTACACTATGTAATATAAATATTAAAACTGTTGTATTTATAACAATGTTTTATAACTTAACTAACAACCTATTTAACAAATGTGTAATTGTATAACGTATGTATTAACTATGAACTAGCTGGAGATATAATAGAGATATTTTTTAAATATTTTTACCAAAATTTTAACGTGTAAGAAGAAACTTTCTGTGAACTTTCATATTTTTTACTGTTTTTTAATCAATTTGGAAATACAAATCAAATAAGATATTTGTCTCGCACATAAAACTGAGGCGCAAACATACACATACAAACACACACACACATATATATATATATATATATATATATATATATATATATATATCTGTGTGTGTATGTGTAAATGATTTTGGATTCACCACACCAAAAAAATCAAACAGTAAACGAGTTTGTAATTAGATGTGATATTTTATACACGGACCCTCTAAAAAGCACGCGTGTTGCATACGCGCATCTATAAATAAATACTCCTGCATAAATAATACGAGGTCATAAAACATAATATAAAAATCAGAACGCAACGCGTCGCAAAATATTTTCATTCAGTTTAACTTATCACCCAATTCATACTGGCGTTTTTTCTTATACATTATTCAAGCCGTAAAATACATTTTCGAATTACTCACATAAATCATAGAACCACGCGCCATGCAAAGCGAATAGGCCGAAGGAAAACAGAGGGACTCAAAAACTTGATTTGTGAATTTCTGTTGAAACATTCTCGCAAAATACGCTCGAGGGCGTTTGCCCGATACCTTCGCAGCCTCGTCCGGATTCTTAATATTAACAACGACAGAAATATAAGTAATATATAATAAATGCACGCACACATATATATGTATATATATATATATATATATATATATATATTAGGGTGGTCATTCATTTTTAGAATATCCTTGCTTCCAGGCGCTCAAATGCTTCAAATTAATAAAAAAAATCTCTGAAAGTTTTAGCTCCTAATTTTAACTTTAAGATAGTCCGCACTTCAACCAAAATTTCTTGGTCCTTCATTCTAAGTAAATATTTTTTTGTGAAATATATAATTTTTGTTCTATTTTTTCAAAATAAGCAAATACAATGTTATTCTCGAAATTTTGATGCACTTGTAAAAACGCGTTACTAAATTGTAAAAAACAAATGGAATTTTGCTCATGTATTTTCCACAAGAAACTTTGATTGGAGTTGCGAACTATCTTAAAGTTAAATAAAAAATACGCAAAACATTCACAATTATTTGGACAGATGTTAGAATATCGATAAAAATATTTTAAATTCCTCTTCATTATGTCCCCGAACATTTACTCTGGCTGAGATTTGTATTGCTAAAATCGTTAATCAGAGTTAATGTTCTTCACTTGCAAAATTATATCCCCAACTTGTTTACAGATAACACATATATTGCACACTTGTTCTTTGGTGATTTTAATTGCGAATTATTGTTATAATTACAAGATTAGTATTTATATTACATAGTGTAGTTACCATGTCATGGATTATTACATTTTCTGTTTTTAATACTAAAGTTAGCAAATTTTATATACATTTTATTCTTTATTTCTCAATGGTTTTACTTTTGGAATTATTAACTTCTCGAAGGAGAAGTTTATATTTTCATAAAAAATCCGATTCGCTAATTTCATGTTTTCTCGACGTTTCAAGCCATTCTAAATCGAATAAGACCAAATTTGGAAAAAGTATGTGTGTGTGTATATGAACAGATTTTTTGCCGTAAATCGACGTATTCTCAAAAACGGTTGGACCGATTTTAAAAATTTAAAAGCCATTCGATGTTTTTCGATGAGGACTAGCGTTTCTGAGTTTTGTGCGTCGATCGGCCGAGCCGTTTCTTTATAAATAGCAGAAAAGTGCAAAATTTTTTGCCCACGTTTTAGCCCGCAATTCTGAATCGATTTTGAAAATTCAAAAACGGTTCGAAAGCTATTGGTTGGGAATCGTGCTGATTAGTTTTTGGTACAGATCGGCCGGACCATTTTCTTGTAATAAAGTGTAAAAAAATTTTTTTTCATCAATTTTTATTATTTTGTTGGCGGTAGATATCATAGTCTTATAGATCATACTAAAATATTACGGTCCTACGACAACTCGTTTAACTTTAAAAATTTGTCAAAGTTTGCAAAAATATTGTTTTTTTTGGTATTTGACAAAATTAGACATTTCATCGACATTTGCACAAAAACGCCTAAACCGATTTCAGAAATTTAAAAACCATTTGATGTATCTCGATGAGGTTTATCATTTCTCAGTTTTGTACGACGATCAGCGGATTCTTTGTAATTTAGAAAAGAGTGTTAAACTTTCCGTCTACATTTAAGCTCATTCTACCGAATCGATTTTAAAAAATCAAAAACTGTTTGAAAGATATTAGTTGGGAAAGATACTGATTAGTTTTAGGTGAAAATCTACAGAGCTGTTTTCTTGAAAGTAACTGTTGAAAAAAAAAATTTAGCCAATTTTTATGGAACTTTTTTTGGCGATATATATCATGGTCTTATAGAACTTACTGAAATATTACGGTCTTACGACAAATAGTTTAATTTAAAAAATTCATCAAAGTTTCAGAAAATGAGTAGTTTTTTGATCTTTGTTAAAATTGAAATTAGACGATTTACTTGGTATAAAGATAGAGTACTTCGTCTTAATGAACATACTAAACCAGTAAAGTTCTACAGAATCTGGTTCAATTATAAAAATGATTGATTTGTAAAAATTTGCTTTTAGAAAATACTTCGAGTTAACGTGTTCGTTTGTTCTCAAATATGTGTAATAAATTCACTTGGAATACTTTTAATCACTCATAAATTAATTTATTTTTCATTGATTAAGTCGATTATTTACACATATCGGGAAGTTCATGTAATTTTCCTCAAGAAAAAATACTAATACCAACTAGTTTTAAATTTGTCTGGTTCATTTAGTATATTTTGTATGAATCTGCACCTACACTTCGATGGAAACAACTTCCCAAATTTCATTATTCTCCACCGGTCAAATTGAACGACCACGGTAGTTAGGCCACATAACAAGTTCGGAAAATAGAACAAATAACTAAAATCAAAGAGTGAAGTAAATATTATTAAGATATTCTAAGAATTGCCATATAGTTTGATAATGGTATTTTAACGTTCAAAAATGCCTGAGTTATATGCTAAGTTTGAAATGGTCAATTTGACCGGACTTGGTAGGTTTAGTATTAAATTTTATCAAAATCTTATAATATGAAAGTTCTACTTAACCAAGAAAATTATTCATTAATATTGAAATACTATAATCTGAGATTAAGGTTCTAACATGAAGGTTAAAGTAATCAAGTAACACAAGGTCAATCAAGAATTTGTTTCTATCAATTTTTTATAATATGAAAGTTGATGTAAACTTGATCAAGATATTCATAAGTCATAATATTCAATTAAATTTAATTGTATTAAGTTTTATATGATTTATTCCAGTGGCCTGCTCCACGGTGACCGTGACCAAGTGCCAGGCGGCACTGCGCACCCTGCAGGCGTTCCCGTTCTTCAAGCCGACGTGTCTCTGCAAAGAGCCGCACGTCGACCGGGAATGTAATAAGTTTCGAGACTTTCTGTTCGATCATCCGTGTTTGTTTGTACTCAAGAAAGGTATGTTGTTTCTTTTTATAAAATGCACTTCTAAGATTTACAGTTTACTGTCTTTTGTGTTCATCGATGTCAATTGATTTATAAATGTCTGTGGATATAAGAACAGGGAGGAGTGGGAAAGTCAATGATAGGTTAAAAATACTATTAAGGTTTAATGCCTGTTCGAGGGTCTTGTTTTAAAAATGATTAAACACAATATATTACACACATATATTTTAATGCAAAATTTATATCTGTTATTTAGTTGAAAACTTTAAACGTGGACTACAACTTGAGATTTGATGCAGTTTTTTTTTTTGTATTGTTGAAATTATTTACTAACAGCTATTTTTAAATCGTGTGAGTAGTTTATTCTAATCTCTTATATAGAGTGACGATTAGTAATTAGTAAAATTTTTATTAATTGACATCGATCCTTTATATAACGTACAAAAATATGAAAATGTTAACGCTTTAGGATGATTTTACTAATGCAAACTCATTAAAATTATAGTTTTAACTCCAAAATTTTAAAAATTATATTGGTATAAGAAAATAAAACTGAATGAGCTTAAGAGTATTTTACATATTTAACTTTTTTTCATATTTTTATATCAGGTTTGATATAAGTTTGAGGTCTGATATAAGTTTGAAAGAAATTACATTAATAAAATTTTCAATAATATTTCAAAAAGTTTTAAACCCCGAAATTAATTTACAATATAGACAACTCCATTAGGTATTTATAAAAGAAGTTATTACCTATTAATGTTTCTGATGATGAGTCCTGAATAAATCCAAGTGGTAGTGACTTTTTTGCTAGCCCGAAAACAACTTTGAAATTAATTAAGATGAAATAAATTATTCAAAATGTAATTGCGTAATTTAAATACAATTCAAGGAATTGCAATGAATCGAAGAAAGAGAGTGATTTAAGGAGAGGAATGATTTTGTGAGGTAGAATGTGTCGAACAAAATATTATGTTAAAAATAAGAATACTTATAGATAGCGCAAATTATTTAAGTTTACCGAAAGAGAATATTTTTGCCAGATTTGCTAGTTCCCTATTTCGTTAGCGTTGGTAGTCATTTTGAATCGTTTGACATCAAAATAGGAAAAAGTGTGTGTATGTGATCCAAAAGTTTGATCTTCCTCCGTCAACGTTCGTAAAACACGGCTGCACTGATTTCGCAAAACTTTGTTGATAAGTTATACTCAAGAATCACCCGTTTAGTGCAATTTTTTTATACACATTTTGGCAAAAAATTATGGCGGTTTATTGAAAATTTAAAATTCTTTCGACAGATATCAGTTGGGAATCTTGCTGATTATGTAAAGATCGACGGGGTTGTTTCATCATAATCAATTGTTATATAATTTTTTGATGATTTTAGTCATACTTTGTATGATGATTTGTATCGTCTTAACGATAACACTAAAATACTATAGACCTACAAACTATTAAAATTCATGATAATGGCCCTTGCAACAATTTCAAAATTTTATCGTTGCTAAATCTCAATTCATATTGAATGAGACAGTTATTTTCATATTTCCGCAAGTTATGCAACTTGCTTTACTACTGCCACTTCTACCTAGGTGATATTATATTAACTCTGAACACGTTGATCGCCACGATAATATCAGAATTTTCTTTACATGGGCCATGGTAATTGCATATAACATATATCACAACAAATAACATATATCAAACAAACAACTATCTGACTATGTTTAATAAAACTCTCAGCTAATTCATCATTTTAGAAATGTGTTTGTTTGCTATTTTTCACAAATTTGTAACTTGTAACCCCATAGGCGGCGTAAATTGGGACGTTCAAAAGTCTTATTTTAACTTTAAAGGTATTTCATAAATAATAGCTACGTTATTTAACCAATGCAAAGTATAAATTTTATTGGTGCCTTTTTTCAGAGATAACACTTTCAATAACCTGGAACTGGTATTTTCTCAGAAATATTCATCAGTTGAGTTGGAATAACTATTTATTTAATTTATCTCTTGTAAAATTGCTTTTTTACTTTCTTTTTTATTTGCTATATTTTATTTTTTACAGTACTGCCAATGTAAAAGTGCAGTTGGTCCTTTTTACCCAACCCAGGTTTAAGCCTTTATGAAGATTATATAAAAAAACTGTTGAATCTAACTTAAAAGTAACAATACATCTTATAAAGCATTAATGTATAATTAATAAATATATTGTGGTCTTGTAAACTAAATAGCAGTGATCACGATAAAAAAAAACTAACAGCGTAAGAACAAACTCACAATTTGGATTTTCATTTATTGTCGTTTCTCTCAGCATTGTAGGAATCAAGATGATGGCTGGTTATATATTTTTTCCCTCTACTTTCAAATATTGTTAAAATCAAGTCATGAAAAATAGTGTTATTCTAAAAATGTTGGCTTTTTCTTTTCTTTGATACGTTTAATTTGTTTTTATCTTAGTTATCTTCAATAACTGAATTATCTAATAAAGTTGTGATATAATTGGTTTAGTTTCACAATATAATTGTGAAGTCAAATTGGACTTTTGTGCCCCGACTGGTTAGCTCATGTAGATTTTCTTAGCGTCAAACATACATGACCGACATGGCGATTAACATGTTAATGTATTATTAAACATTATAGAAAATTGGTATACTAAATAAATTAGCAATGGAATTGCCTTTTAAATTTTTGAACAACCGTGGGTAGTTATTTTAAGTGTTGAACTCCAAAGGCGATAAAAGATACAAAAAATGATTAGTAATTAGTAAAGCAATAAATTATTTTAACTAATCATGTAATCTATTTTTGATTAATATTAATTCAAATATAATTACATGGAATAACATTCATCTAACTGTAGATCTTTAATCCGAGGTGTATCACATAAGTTGGGTACATAATTCCGAAACTATAATATGTTTATCTTGGCACCTTCACTAAACAACTGTGGAGGGACTTCTGATCTTTGGGAGCATTCTATATGCGAAGGGTTAAGATAGGTTTACTTACAGAGGAAATCATTTCGAATTAATTACGAACGAGTTATCTACTGAATATCAACAGCGAATTATAGTCAGGTCAGCAGCCACATGTGGGTGGAACGGTGGAATTTATGTATTCAACTGAAATCACAGATATTGAATGAAATATTTTGAACTACATATTAGTACACGAGCAAAAATATTTAAAACATGCGAAAGTATTTACAGACTTAAATTTGTATCATATTAATTATGTACATTCTAATTTTGAAGTATTTTTAAATTTAATTATTCTGTATCGTTGAAATGTAAGTTATTTGAGTATGCATATTTTAGATACTTGTGTCTTAGTTTTTACTGCTGATTACAACAGGCTTTATCAAAAATAACATACCAATTTTATTGAAGTAATTTATATGAATCGATTAATTAATCAAATATTTTTTTGCATTATTCGTCTTTCTTAGTCAATATATTTTAGTCATTTTATACAAATTGTAATTTTTGTAAATGCCATGGCCAGAAATTTCTGTAATATTTTCTAAAATTTTATATTTTACATAAATATTTACACATTTTCAAATATTAATAATATTTATACAGAATGTCCCAGAACTTGACGTCAAACCGAAACAGGGTGGTAGTATCAACGTCAAAAGTCCTGAAAAAAAAAAAAATAATAACTCACGTTGGTTGTAAATTATGAGCTTTTAAGTGCAACCTAGAGTTTTGGAAAAATTATGACCATTTTCCGGTTGGTGTAGTTACTTTTTATTAACTTTGTTTATTTAAACTTTGGGACCGTAACCGCAAATAACATTTCTAGGACAATTAAAGCTTTTTGTTGAACTATTAATTTGAAGTGTTTAAAATCGGTCGAGTTTGAGAAGCCCTCCTTTAAAAAATGTATATCAGTATTGAAAAATGATGAAAATAAATACTATTTTGAAGTAAATAATGTTGTCTACATTTTTCTATTCCACATTAAAAAAAATAAAATTAAGAAAATTGTCTAAAAATTTGAAAAATAACCCTTAATAAAAGTAAATTGATTTTTAAAGTAAGATTTAAGCTTTACCCTTAAGTTCAAAAATATGAACTAAAATTATGTCAAAAATATTCAATGGCTGAACGTAGTATAAAAAATGATTGAATAACAAAAATGGCTATAAAAAATAGGAGTTGGTGATGAAATAGTAATAATTTAGAGTGGTATATGTTTTTTGATACCACAGTCTGAAAATATAAACCAAAAAATTTGTTAAAAAAATTAAGCCGATAATAGCCAATTTTCAGACCCACTGAATACGAATATAAAATTTGGTACAAATCAGTAAAGTCGTTTCGGAGGAGTACGTGAATGAACTTTGTGACATGAAACTTTATATATGCTACAATATATATATATACTTATCAGTGTTATATATTACGTATTATAAGTTATACGTATTTATGTTATCAATACAAAGCATATCTTTGCTATGTTTATGAAAAATTTGTATTGTATTATGTAATAATAAAAAACGAAAAAAAATTATCTAGAATATCTATTAACTTGTGTGTTTGCAGGAAATTGCATTAAAAGTTTTTTAATATCTCGAAGATAGTTTTTATTAGATAGCATGCGAGAAACCAATATATATATATATATATATATATATATATATATATATATATATTTGTTGTGTCATTCTATAGATAGAACAAGTTGCTAACCTACATAAAAGCTCGACTCTTAACTCTTGCTCGAACTTACTGAACGACAAATCAACCCAGACGAAGTCCCCCCTTTGAGTTCGTCTTTCAGTGAAAGTATTCTGAAACAATTACACACCTATCAATGAATGATTTCTGCTTATATTTTGCGTTTGTGTCTGTGCATATCTAGTAGACATAAACTTGGAGCTGGTATCAATTCAAATTACACATTTCATCGTATATGTAACTATTTGCTATGCTTATATTAAAATTGATTAAAACTGATATAAATATAATGAGTTAGCTAATATATATAAAGGACTGCCTTTAC